ACACACACACACACACACACACACACACACACACACACACACACACACACACACACTATTATTTGTTACCGGATTGTATGAAACTGATCAATTAAATTCTTTGATAAAGTAACCAATTCAGGGGTCATTTCTGTAAAGAATCTCAGTACTTCTTCCTGGTGCAGTATATTCCCCCTCCCAGTTGTCACTAATTATAATAATAATCAAATGGCCCAAGGGTGGCTTAGTGATTAATTGTTCATTTTAGTTTACACTAGTAATGACTTTTAATACATAAACATATTTCCCTCTCGTCCCACCCCTTGAAAGTGTCTTTCCTGTTGAATTTGTGGGGGTTTGTGATTTCTTGGGAGGACTAAAATCCATGTTCTTGGAGGGGGGAGGGGAAACACTGTTCTGGGTGACGTCACTGTGCTGAATCCGTAGGAACTGGGACTGTCCGAAAAGACTTGTGAGTTGTCAATTTCTCTGAATGAATCATGTAAAATCAGTGCTGGTCTTGTCTACAACGCACATTTGTCTTGTAATAAAAATAATAAATTTTGTAAAAACAAAGCACAATGGTTTTAGAATGTTCATCGTATCTTAGAACCTAAAACTATAATCTCCCCGAACCTACATGATTCACTCCTAGGGATGAAATGACACTTTTTTGGGGGGGGCGGGAGGAGGGGAGCTCGGAATAACTTGAAACTGGCCATAAGTACAATTCTAATTAATTAATTATTGAGTTTAAAATCAGCACAAAGCATAGAGAAATAAACAATATGATTTGCTGAAAGTGGTTTCTATGTCTTGCTAAACGCAGAGTGGCTGATCTCATCATCTTTAATATAAATTTTGCGCTAAATCCCCTACGGTCAGGTAAGGGGTTAGTGTTACATGGGCCCGCGGGGAGAAAAAGATCTGGACAGTTGTGAAAGAGATCAGGAGCCTCATCATTATCCTTCTGGTGCGTCTTTATTTTCTTCCAAAGCCACTAACTGCTGCGAATTTGAACCTACACAACTTTGTTCGGATGCTACTTGTTAATTTAGCGAGCATTGCAAGCAATGGAAGCATGATACATGAATATGTATACAGATATACCTAATGAATTAGCTAGGCAAATTAAAAAATAAACTATTGTAGTTATCAACAATATAAACTATAGGACGATTGTTCCCAACTGACTATTCAACCCATGAAACTTATACCGTGGAAATTAAAAGGTACGGAAGCCATCTGCGAGGGGAGAGGGTGTTTCCATCTCGTCTTGAGATCTGTTTATTTCTTTATTTCTTTATTTACATAAGTGTTTAGATGTGAAGGCTAATCACCTTTAATTTTTCATTTGCTTGTTACAGATGTCTACCCCGTTGCTCTCAAGGTAATCTAGACAGACGCAGCTGAAAGCCTGAATCTTATGCCTTAGACATCAAAGAAAGCTCGCACAAAGAAGTATTTCTTCGCAAGGGTGAATCTTCATGGTAAGTTAGGATTTCTATGGCAATAGGCAAGTCATACTTAAATAGTGAAAGGCAAAGTCTGGAACCCGTCCAGACCTTTCATTAAGGACATAATATTTACGTCTAACAGGCCCTTTTTCTTGTGTATACAAGTATATATTTTTGTTTGACGCGAACTAAATCATTTTCATTTAATTTCCGGTAAACAAAACCCACGCGAATGGGCACTTGTTCCAGATCATAATAAAAATGGATACGAATGTCAGGAAGAAAAGGGCCGCTTAAACCAGCGCGTCAGCTCACTTTTGTTTCTGCTTTTTGCCTTGGTCAGAGAATGCGTTTGGGATTTGACGGCGAGTTTCTAAAGGCAAGGAAATGGTTTTTAAGGGGGAAAAGAAAAGGAGAAAGGTCTAATCAAGCTCGGGTTGTTCAAAGGGTCTGATTTTGGGGTTGAAAGTGTGAGTTTTATGGTGCATCAACATGCCACGTTAGGATCGCTATGGTAATGAGGAGAGCAATAGCAAGCGGCCTTCAAAGGAGGCACACTCCATTTGAGACAGTCTATTAAGATACATTTGCACTGACCTTTGGTTTCATGCTAGCTTACTACAGTCACTCTGCTCTTCGTCAGAAATATACTTCCTCCGCCTAGTACACTTTAACAGACTTTTTTAAATTTTGGTTTGCTTGCACCCTAAGGTGAGGTTTGGTAGGGCTTTTTTTACACCGAAGTGATTATTCACTGCAAAATATTACCAGAAGGAGGGATTGCCAATAAAGGACATGGACCTGTTCTGGGCTAGTGAGAATTCTATTGAAAACAGAAGCATTTCTAACCAGCTGACATATTTTTGTCCGTATCCAAACGATCAAACATTTCCATTCAAAAATTTCTGTAGTGAAAAAAATATTATTCCACTCCCACCCCCGCGACAGCGAAATTAGGAAGGGGAATTAAAGGAACACTTGAGCTTTCTTACTCTCAAGCAGTAAGTGTATCTAGGAAGGTGAATAAGAACCGGAATCATCTTAACGTTCCATTAAAACGAACAGGGGGGCAGGCCTGCCTAGAAGCTGTTGTGGGGAAAGTCCCAGCCCAGGGGGACACTGATAGTGGCAGGTTTGGAAAGTGGTAAGCGCCTGAAGGGATGAAGAACTTGACACCCGCATGGCTGAGGCCATGGCCGATGGGTTATGGTCCCGGGAAAGTTAGAAGTCCCGTTCCAGTAATTGTCTTGTTGTTTATTTTATCCAAGTACCCTAGTGAATAGGGGAAAAATAAACACGACGAAAAAAATTCAAACAGTTGAGTCGTCTTTAGTGCCAACCCTTGTGGCTGAATAAAAAGGATGGTCCAATTTCTATTGAGCTGAGAAATCTTTGAAGTGGGAGTTATTATCTGAGAAATTCCTGCTTGTCGTCCTAACAACGCTGATGAAACGTAAAAGGTTCTTTGTCAGCGATTTGTTCTCCTTTCTGTCAAACTCAGCCTGCCCCTTAGCTTTAAACCGTTTCTAAAGAGATAAAATCAAACTTTTACAGACAACTCTAGGGACCGGGAGGGTACAGAAAATGGCAAACTATATAATCATATGTATATGCAGACATAGGTATGTGTATGTGTATCTGTGTATCTCTATCAGTGTATAGATGTATAGATATATAGGTGTATGTATGTCCTGACTGTTCTATAGTTCTCAGTTTTAAATGGTGTCCATCTCTGCATTTTATCTCCTGAACTTTTCTGTCCTATAAATTATCCCCCAACATGCAATTCTTGTGAAAAGGCAGAAATGCAGTGGTTCATTAACACTGGTATGTAACCAGCAAGCGGGGTTTTCCCTCAGTACAATGAATGCAACAGCATACCCTTAAGAGTAAACGTTTTGAAATGTTAACGTTCGGGATGTCTATTAAGCATGTATATACTGCAATGTACCGAAATTGTTACGCATTAGAACCGACGACTTCCATATGTTTTCATGTTTTATTGTCAGTAAGTGTAAAGATAGTCAAACTGCATCTCTTTGTATCTTCATTTTATAAGCATTACAATGTGCGATTTTATAACGACCTTATCAAGGTTTCTTTAGGCGTTTTAATTTGGGATCATTATTTTTTTTTGTAAATAGAATCTCTTGAAGTTGTAACTCATCAGTGTACTTTTATGCTAGCTGCTACAGAATGCTGTGAGCCCAATCCTTTAATTCTAACAATTCCCACTGATATCAATGGGAGTTTGCCTGAGTAAAGACTGAGTAAAAGTGCAGTGAAGTGGGTCCTTTTTATTAAAGAATATCCTCTCTTTTTTATGTTTAAGGGAAGATATAATGATCACAAATGTATCGTAAAATGTAACTCGTAAAAATAATTAAAATGTTGGAATATTACATATCTTTCCAGACTCTTCATCATCTATGTTTCCTGTAGGAAAGAACTATTTTTGTTTTATGTGTTGGAAAATATTATTTTAAATATTTTAAGTAATTGGATTATTTTCTATTAAATGTTTATAAAAGTACTAATTCTGTGACTTTTTTTTACAAATATGCACTTAAAACGTTGTTTATATCAGTTATACTGTGCCATTATGAAAGACACTATGTATACATCATTTTTCTAAAATAAATTTGGATTAAATGGTAATTGCATGTATCCTACAAAACTAGTACATAATCTCTCAAAACTAGTACATAATCTCTTTCAGTAACGTATAGTGTCTGTTGGTTTGTAATATAACTTCCTCCTAATTATTTTATATTTATTAGAAAATCATTTGTTTTTATAGAAACTTTTTACTAGACTCTTGAAATAGAGTCTTTACACCTGAAACTTCAAGACTAGCATAATAAATTGTAATTTAAATATTGGCATAGGATCAGAGATAAAGAAATCAAAAGCTTGTGTCATTGAGTTCCTTATAATTAAACTCATATTTTTTCTTTATATCTGCTGATTATCACTACAACTGCACCTAGACTTCTTCAAAATAAATTCTTAATTTTGGATTTCACTAATATGCTTGAAATTAAGGATTCTTTCACAAAAATGCTGTTTCTAACTATTGATGGTGAATACACTCTTATATTTAGAGAAATCGCTGTACAACATGGAGTCATTGCTACACTTGCACTTACTTATAAGCTTCCTTAAGAATATGGGGATCACTTTTTACTGCGTTGAAATTAGTTCATCATTTAAAATGACTTAAAGGTAATTTGTTTTGCTATGCATAACCCATAAACTGAATATAGTGCGTTGAAGAGGTTAGTACCAGTTGAGTATGCTCTGAGCTTTTTAGGTTGTCATTTAAAACTCTTATTCTACCAGTTATGAATGATGTTATCACTCCTCCGAATAGCTGTCTGCATGCTGTTTGAGTAGTACGCATGCGCATTGACTTATCTTTTAAACTTTAAAGAAGTTGCTTAACACAGCGATGACATACAGTTGGCTTATAGTTGGCTTTTTGTAGCAGGAGTGTTGCCAATAAAGAAAAACTTTGAATATGAAGAAAGAAAGAAAGAAAGAAAGAAAGAAAGAAAGAAAGAAAGAAAGAAAGAAAGAAAGAAAGATTATTTTAAAAGATGACAAAATTGGCGCATAAAGAAAAAGGGGGCTAACAGTACATGCTAATTAAAGTATACAATTCTATGGGCTATAATGATTGAGCGAAGACATGTAGTTATTACACTTGACTGTAGTCAACAAGGGATGGAATGTCCCCTTAGACAACATGGTGAGAGACGTGTGGGCATTATTAGTGGTCCTTTTATAGACATTGCCTTTTCTTTCTCAGTGCTGACAAACCATTTTGGAGGGATTCATCCCCTGTTGCTTCCTATCATCGATCCCCATGCAAGCTCCTGCATTGTGCAAGTGCATTAATTAAAGACCATTCATTTAACAAAAGAACGTTTGTATGTTAAGGAAATGAAGATTAGAAATATGAATCAGTAAACTAAATAAACTAAGACCACAGTTACCACACATATATCACTTATATATCTCATGAAGGAACGCGAACGCTGGGTCCTGTGTACAGTTAAATACACTCCGCTTAATCCTGGAGCTGTCCATAAATATTGTTCCGGTGATCTTTTTGTCTCTTTGGAACATCGCACTTAAATGTATTACACTTAAAAAGATGGTTTTCACGTGTGTTTAAAAATGTCAACTTTATTCATCAAATTACTGAGCACTCAGCTCATCCACAGGTAGCCAGTAAACCATTTAAGTGAAGTCTTTCTGCTTGCTTCTTACATATCTGTCGTTTTGAATACTGCTAGACATGACAGATATGTCAGTACTTTTGCCCCCGTTACAGTGCCATCCTTGGACAGTACATGCATTTTGTAAAGCGATTGCATGATTGTCGTCTACATTATATTGAAGTTAAGTAGGTGTCTGAAACAGATCAAATCTATAAACATTCTCCACAAGTTATTCTTTTAACGGGTGTCAGTGCCGCAAATGCCACGTATACCGCATGGCCGGAAGCCCACTTTCAATCGGATCCAATCCCATTATATTTTGCAATCAGAACAAAAAATCAATACGGTTTGTCAAAACGGGTGACGGGCTGCGAAGCTGATCACGACACAACTCTGAACCGTTGCGAGAAGAACATACAAGAAAAATGAAAAGAAATCGATTTTATTATGCCGACGTGAGTCGGGTTCATCCACATGACTTGTGAAGAGGCACCAGCTTTAACTTCTGGGTCATATTGTTAATTTGCACGTTATATCTCTTTTAGGATGTTGTATGGTGACTAGTATATTTGGGGCATAAATGAAAGTGCTTTAAAAGAAATGAACAAAAAGAAAGACTCTATGTATCTAAAGTCCAAACATATGTAAAGACCCAACAAAAGCACATTGTTCCTATGATTATAATGGGGCCTGTTAACCAATTAAAGCTTTTAGTCAAAAGTCTCAGCCTCTATAGTTGAATGAAAGATTAGTAGTTTTTCTTATGGACGATTTAAAAGCTTTGCGGATAAACTGGAAGGACAATATTAACAGTAATAACAACACGTTTACTAGATGTAAAAACAACGTCACCGAAGGAGTGTATTCATTATGGCAACAGTTTATGGAAACACTTTTTGATGCATGACTGAATTGTTTCAACCTTTTAGATGCATAGAGCTAAATTTGTGTCAGAAGTGGTCTCGCACGCCTTATTTGTATTATCCAGCAATATTTCTCTACTGTAAATTTGGAGTAAGCTCCTGTAAAGGTACATATAAGCGTCAGATAGGGTTTACTTTAATTGGGATAATCTCCATTTTTTGTATTAAAACATTTAGAGTATATTTCCTCTGTTTATGAGGCAACATTTTTAGTAAAAAGAATTCCCATTTCAGATTATTTTATGCACATATTATCAAGATTATATCATTAGTCATATTGCTTGGGACGGTACATTGGCCCCAAAAGTTATAATTAAGTAATATAGGCTTAGTAAACCTCCAGAAACTCGATCAGTCTAGTAACATACAAAGACTGAATCTCTCATATGTGCTTTTATTAGGCGAACATTTGTTTCTAAAGTAAGCCATATAAGGATTTAGCACAATCTCTAAACAGCAATATTAGTATATGTAGTAATTAATGTTTAGCAACATTCTGATTATATTCCAAAATCCTGCTGCCGCTTGACTGTCTTTCTAGAAGACCAAGCATCTCAGGTAACAGTCCTTTAAAAATGATAAATCTAGGTCAGATTTTATATACCTGGCAGCTCTTACAGGTTAAAACCAAAGTTTATAAAAGTCAAAATATTCTTAAACTTTTGATGAATTGGGCATAGTTTCTGTTTTTGTTTTAACTATGTTTCTGTGGTTCCATAAAGGCATTGGAGAAAAAATTAAAACTACAATATTAAAACATCTGGCTTCTTAACATATGGCTTTGTTGGTTTTTATAACTAATGTTTTTTCTTAACCTTTAAAAATAGATGTCCTACTCGAATTGTGATATAACATATAATTGTGGGGGAAAAGGGAAGGCTTGAGTACTAAAGTGTTAAATAAAACAGTTGAAGCTGAAGTTTCACAAAGGAATTTTTTGTTCTCTACATCTGAGGATATTTCAGTCCTTTTCAAATGGTTGTTAAAATTGAGGTTCTCTCGCAAAAATTGCTGGAAAAAAAATTAGGTGAGACAAGAATTAGGAGTCAGGGTTTTTTTATTGTCCAAAAAACAGGACAACTTAAAAAAAACTGTTGTAGAAATACAGAGACTCCTTTAAGTGTGAAATATCATTTCATTGTAAATAGTCAAAAAAGAGTCGGTAATCCAACTTCCGGAAACTGTTCTGAATTATTTCAGCAGACTCTTTTAAAAGGGGATTAGCAAGGCTTTAAGGGCAAAATCCTTCTGTTTTATTCAATCTCTGATTTTATGTTATAATTACTAGATGTAAAGACTCTTGAATTAGTATGCAGGAGTCGTCCAGACATTATGCAGGTGCTATTCTAATCATTCAGCTTTTTAATTAAGGAACGAGGTAAGAAAACAGAATCATAAAAACACTTTTGTGAGAGCTGAGAAAATTGTGAGCGACTGCATGAATAAAGCCTTTATACCTTATCCTGACAGGTCAGACACCAATTGCCTGACTTACGACCTTTTCTTGATGAAACAATGGTTAACAGCTTTCTCACCTTGTTCCCATTATAGCCTTTATTCTTATAGAGAATTTATGGAAATACCCATAAAATGCTTATATTAAAAGGAGGGCGGAGAAGGTATTGCAATTATAATTGATACGCATCCTATTAAGATACTTTATCTGTGATAGTTCTGAAATGGGTGCTCAGCATATTTTTATATCAAAGGGTCACACTCATTCATGCAACTTTTGGTAGATCATAAGATTTTAATGTTTAAAGCTAATATATACACGAAGAAAAACTTTATGGAATAACAGTCCAGCAAGAATAACCGACTGCTACACAAGAGGAAAATCCAAACGTCTCCTCTGCTCAGTCCACAAATATGTATAAGAACATTTGAATATCACAATAAAAACTTAGACTTTTGTGGTTTTCCGGGGTTTTTGTAAATGTCTTTTCTCTCTCTCTCTGTCTCCCCCCGCCCCAGAACAGAGTTTGCTGCATCACGTGTATTAACATATGAATGAAACAAACAGAACCAGTGCACTTAAGGTAGTACCTATGCACTGTTCTTGCCTGATTATCTTTTAATGGAAAGTTGCATGAACTAATGACATTTGCATAAATATGAATAATTATTAAGTTGGAGTTTTTGCTTTGATAGTGGCAGGATTCATTTCTTAGGAGTCAGGATTTCGGTCCGAATCTTTGCTGGCGCCAACCTTCTTTCCAGTTTACACACTGTGTATATAAGGAGAAGGAAAAAGAATGTGTCCGTGTGCGTGTATATGTGACATTTATAATGTTTTATTTATTCAAATGGGAAACTTTTCTCTTATGTCCCTCTTTTATCTTCCCTCCAGACCTCCAGTTCTGAGCAGAGTTCAGTGGCTGTAAATGATAGGTTCCCAAAGAATCAATCTGCACTCTTCTAGTACTTTGCAGAGAACAATGCAAGTATTAGGGTATCAGCAGCACTCGAAATGATCACGCGTTAAATTATTTTGCTTTCACGGATGAGGAGGCTTTTTTCCAATGTAAATCAAGCGCTTTAGTTATTAAGTCTGAACACTAATCTCCAACAACCTTTACATAATGTGGCAGAATGTGCCACACCACTTCGCACCTGCACTCTGAATAGAGGCGCCTTTTCAATGTAAGACACGCTTGTTGCCCTTCTGTTCCAAAGGAGTTGTCTGAATAAGTCAAGCTTTTTGAATACCCATACTCGCTTTCTCTTCCTCCTTTGATCACAGAAAATGTCTTCTAATTTGTCCTTTTTCATTGTAACAACGTTTTCAAGTCTCTTTATTTTCCAAACCACATATTTATAAAGAACATAAATCGCCCACGAAAACAAAAGTTTCTTCCTAGCCAACTGGCCAAGTAGCCCGTGATCTTCAGGGGGAAAAAAGTTCTGGCAAAGTTCTTGAGTTTGTTCTAAACAAATGCTTAACTTTTTGTCATAATACGGGGAGAAAAGCAATATTTGCTTCCATTAAAAGTAAGGCCGTTTGTATCAGACCGTTGTAGAGGTTTCCTGCTCTCAATTGACTCCTCCGGGAAGCTGCGTTTAAATATTCGTGCATTAGCAATAAATGGTGTATGAAACGTTTCAGCTTTGCACAGCTTAGGCATAAAGAGCCTTTGAACCTACCTGTTATAACTACGGGAACCTTAGTGGTTTTGAGTTTTTAAGTCACTTCAAGGCAAAACCTGTTTTATAGAGTGGTGGTGGGTTTTGGCATACATTAATTAATATCGGATCATTAACGGGCCTTTGATTATAATTAACTCTGATTTGTAACTCTCAGAGTTAATAGGAAGCAGAACCGCATAATTTCTATAAAACCCGCTAAGAACCCCATATTTTTCCAGGTGGGAGATGGGCAGTGCCTTGCTATTCAACTAAGAATGGGAGAGGGGTGAGCAGTGGTGGGGTAAATTTGTGGACAGTAACAATATTTTTATTGCATGTCTGTTCTTTCTATATTGCTACAGTAAGCCACAGCTTCAGCTTTGTGCAATTTAAACCTGAACACCTGCAGTCTATTCTGTGTCTGATGCGCTATAGTCCAACACCCTCAAGGAAAACGGATGTATTTTATCTGTGTCCACGAAAAGCAAAGGGTTAACAGAACTTATATTAAACGGACTTCTTGAAACTGACCTTAGAGTGAGCTAGGCGTTTTTCACTCCTTTTTCTAACATATGAGTTACAGGGAGAGTATTACTGCATCGATCGATTATTATTAATTAGCACGTTAATCAACTTTTTAATCCTAGCCAACAGCTGCCATAGTATTTCTGATAGAACTATAATCCCCAAGTAAATTTAGGCACGTTTGCAGCCGGAGCATCATAATACATCCCCTCCCCTTTCTGTTGCGTTTTCTCGAACACCAAGAGGGTATTTTATTACATTACCATGGGCTCAGGGTAAAAAACTAACAAAACCCTCTAATACAGTTTAAAACACTTTGATGTCTTGCCAAGAAACACACTTCCTTCAAGAGACAAGTCAACATTTGTTTTTCACATTAAATGGCGTTTAGTTGCCACTGAAAAAATGATGCTAAAGGACCACTTTTTAATTCGATGTATAACAACCGCGGGGGTCTAAGAGAAAATAACGGCGAAAGCTATAGACACAAATAACTAAATTACCAAAACGTTAGTATATCTCCTAGGTTCATTAATATGTAACAGACTCCCCAGTTAATCTCCAAAAGCCAGTGTTCCCCCTCTAAAATAGCACTCTGGGACGAATTGTACAGCAGATCAATCACTGCTAATGCAGTAAGGTTTACTGCAAAGAGGGGGGGGGAAGCTATTTACACCTTCAAATAGAAGCTTTTGAGATTTAAGAGTAAGGGTCATACATCACTAAGAATAAATGATTATGAATTGGTAAACGCGCCCTGCAGCCATTAGCTATGCGACGCGATTTATCATTTCTCTGTGTTTTTCTTTTTAAAATCATTTGGCTATTTGAAAAGAAAAGCATGACAAAAAACAACAACCCCAAAACACCGCGGGAAAGTTTGTTTTTGCATACACTATAAGTCATCAAAACATGACTCTTCTTCAGATATAAACGGGGTCACTTATGAATTGCTTGCCAGGAAACAATGGAGCCCTTCCATTGTACCCATTTATTACTAATCGATTGCTTTGCTCAGTACGGTTGACATAGCAGAAGCATTTATTTTTTAACTTTAATTATAAGTTGCTAACTTGTGAATTTCATAAACAATCAATTAAGTGATGGCATTGTTTTTTTTCTTTCTCTTTCTGATCGCTGTCACGCGACTTAAAAAGGAAATGTAACGTTTTGCCACTTTCAACTGTTGACAGAGGTTAACCTGCACATCCCCATTTAAGGAACGCACCCCAAAAGCCCTTGACGCGATACCCGGTGACACACGCTCTGTTTGCAATGTACACGGTACATAGGAGCTCTATGGCAGGAAAAGGTGAGGGCCCAGCCTGGGCTGTGACTGAAAATAATGCTCTGCTTCTCGGGCTAGAGAAAATAACCTCATTTTGAGGTGGGAAGTGTGATGTGTATTTATTGAAGCTGGTTCAGAATGGTAAGGAAATACACCGTAAAGTTTCATTTAAGAGGTCCTCAGGGCGGTGGCGATGTTGTTCATTAAAAAAAGCACACAAATAAATATTGGTCGGAATGCAATCATATTTTTCAGAGGGTGAAACAGTCACTGATGCTACTCTCCTCTGTATAAATACAGTCAGATCCAGGCCTTCGTACAGCGGCATCGTCTCTTCCGAAGTTTGGACTACAGAAAAAAAACTAACCTCAATTGGAATTTGTTTAAGGTCTGGTTTCTAAAATAACTGAAAATTACATGTCAACTTCATCTTTTGCCCAGAACGCTCCAGTTTCTCAAAGGAGCCGTGTATGTGCATTGGGCTCATTCCAGCTTTCTTTATTTTACATTGCCATAAGGAAAAGTGTACAACAGTGAGGTAAAAGTGGAATCACCTGCTGATTATCCCTTTGAAATATCAATTCACCAAAACTTGGACAAGAAATCTCAATAGTGGTTTTCCCCCTCACTCCTGGAATTCAGAAGTTGGATGAGAGTTTAGCAGTGCAAACATACAGACGTACCTCTTTGGAAGGAAGCCCTTATAAACTTTGAAATCACTTCAGTTATTTGAGTTTTTATAAGACCTCTGGGAGAAAAACGTGCTAGATATTTACAGCCAGAACAGGACTCAGAGGTAAAATACAAGATTCACTAAATTGCTCCATACTGCCATCCCATAAATCGGATTTCAATTGTGACAAGTGCCTGTAGGTAAGAGATTTAATATGTCTGGTGAAAGGAGTTTGTGGCACTAAGTCTCACAGTTGATAATCAACTCTGCCAGGGATCTTTTAGGGAAACTTCTAACACGCACTACTGAAATATTCGCAAGATTTTGGAATAAAACATACTCCTTATAGACCTGAGAAAAAGTAGAGATTTCTGTTTCATTTCACAAGCTTGTTATAGCCGCATTTGATCAAAGGGCAACTTTTATGTAAATAGGAGAGAAGAACCCCACGTAAGATGTTCTGTGGAATGCTGAAACCCTTTATAAAACTCAGCTTCAATACCTGACTGTTTATTGGATGTCTTTGAAAATACGACATAACGTTCCACGCCATAGGTTTTCAAATCTTTACTGATAATGTTGCAATTCATTCTTCAAGGTTTTGAAAAAATAAATCCCAAACCTGGAGACATAACATTTGTTGGAAGAGAGTATTAATAATCTTTAATCCCGATATTCCAATTTTTCTGTGTCTTCTGTTGTTTTCAAGGGCAAGGAGCAAAAATCTATTGTTTGCTGAGCTGTAAAATAATGGTGCTATAAATGTCGCAGAGTGAGAATTTAACAGGCCAAATCAGAAACAAATATATCTTACATTCACGATTGATGAACATTACTGCATCCTGACTGAAGGCCCAATTCTACCCCCCTGAAATCTATGTTCCCACTGACTTCGGGGGCGAAGGGAAGATAAGCCTTTAAATGGAGAGGGGAGAGAAAGATAATGTGGAAGTATCACTAATATTTTTCATTAATTAATAGAGCAAGATGATGGTGATAGGATCATCCTGTCTGAAGCAAAATTCCCATTGAAATTCCCACTCCTCATCTCTAATACAGATACACAGGCCCTCTCCCCCATGTATTCAGTAACAGTACAGTAGTGTTTACCTTCCATCTCTGAGAAAAAGAGGGAGTGAACTAACTGGGTCAAGTCCTGTTTCCTTTACTCACGTCAGTGGTCCCGCTGAAGTCATGCAGAGTAAGATGTGGCCCACAAAATGTGGTTTATATGAAATATTCTTAGAAAAAGCCTCTCTTAAAAACATACCCAACCTGCCTGTAGTATGGAGAGAAAATATGCTATTAGCCGATTTCACTCATCTGGAAAAGACGAAATTGTTTCCTTGGATATATAATGCGGCACTTCCAGTCCGAAGTAGCATCCATTTCCTCTTTATTACATCATTCTGCATTTCATTTCTACCATTTTATATTTTACTGCTGCTCCTTTTCCCCGTAAAATATTTTTTCGAAATAATTTTTCCTGTGCCAGCT